ATGGCGTTCTGGGTAAAAGCCAATTATAATAACCAAGGGCAACAGTGCTGTCTACATGGCTCTATTCTGTTTTTAATCCGGTTTCAGTTGGTATGGAGATTGGGAAAGATAAGTACACAAGTTCTCCATGCTAAGAAAAAGTTGAAGGAACTGAAATCGGATTCAGTCCTGCTCCCCACCCTGGCTCCCAAAAGCTTCTCTTCCCAAAACTGTCAATTAACCTAAACAACTCAAATGTAACCTAGGAAAGTTTAAACCACATAATGGATCAAGACAAACTGAATGTAGGTCTGATTTCACATGTTGGTGCACACAGTTTTTGTCTGCGTAATAAGTCAAATATTTTTGGGTAAATGGGAGTTTTTGGAGGGAAAACTGTCAAATTTTTCTCCCGTTTTTATAAACATTCTAAATTATTACTGATGTATTTTCTTCAATACCCTTCACCAAAAAGAAAACATATCAGCCTACATCAGTCTCATATTTTACCTGCCTTCATCTGTCAAGTGAAAAGATTTCTTCCCGATCATAGTAAGCTTATAAAATCCTAGATCGGCATGTAGCGTCTCTCCTGTCGGGCTGCTGTCAGTCGAGGAGTCAATCACACCGGACTGCAGTGAGGAAAAATTAATCAGCTGGTTCAGAAATAGTTTAGTGGACTTCACTGACAGCCAGAACTGAGAGTGTCGCAGCAGCCAACAGACTGGAACCGCTGCCTGGCCTCAAGCTGCTTCCTGTTTCTCGACCATAGTAAGCGCTCCAGTGACATCACTTTGAATAGTTTGTGAAGTTAACAGCCTGCCATGCTGTTGCCCCTACATTCCTCTGTGTACAATTACACCAGTGTTAATTTCATCAACGAAAACTATGACGAAAAATGTTCATCAACGACCTTTTTTACATGACTAAGAGGAAACGATGACGAGCTAAAAATAGATTTTTGATAATAAAAACGACTATTTTGTTTTCGTTGACGAGACGAGATGGGACTAAGGTGTTAATGGTGGACTATCGGACATTCAAAATGCAGGATATTTTCCCCCAATTGTCCGTCTTGTTTGTCAAAAATGCATCCCTGTCATTGGTTGAATTAGTTGGGATTCTGAATCTGCACACGTTACTCATATTACACAAGTAAAGGGTTAAGAGAGTGAAATGTGGCTTTACGAATTTTTCAAAATGAACACTGAATTACACAGCTTAAAACATGTCACCCTAGGTAATATGTATGCCAACATATAGTATAAGCAGGTTTACTGACAGGATACACACTCCTGAGAAAAGACAAACAGTGTAAGGGGTGCTATAGAAGATATATACACAGATAAAAACAAATCCACTCACTTCAGATACCACCGCATCTTTATTACCCAGATGGGTCCAATAGACTTTTATTACACCTGACAAGAGATGAATTCCATTAATGAACATCAAGTGACTTTGGGATTGTGTGTGTGTGTGTGTGTGTGTGTGTGTGTGTGTGTGTGTGTGTGTGTGTGTGTGTGTGTGTGTGTCCTCCCCTCCCCTGTGACTAATGTATCATATGCAGCAGCAGGGTCGTCTATAAATAACAACATGATGTTCATTTACTGAGCGGGAGGGGTGACTTGTGTCTGGGCAGATTGATGAACGGGTGGAGTGCATGTGTGTGTTGTTCCCCATTCTTTCGCTCACATGCGGTCGGTCAGTTTTATGTGAGACAACAGAGTAGACTTTAATATTGAGCACACAGAGTGCCTGAGGCAACCGCAACGATCTTTCTGGAAGTACACAAACCTTTCTCGCCAATTTGTGCATTGTGATGGCCAATATGTGCGAACCACATGCAGTATGGGTAAGGGTGAAACTTCACAAAAAGCTGGGAAACAATAACAACAACAACAACAGCAGAGTGAGTGGGCATGCTCTTGACAGCCTGATGTCAGATTACAGCAGAGAAATGCAGGATTGAGTAACTATCCACAGTAGTTAATTATAAGTGCGTATTCCTTTACAACAGTTAATAGTCTACTGTATACTCTAGAGTGAATTCTGAGAACACTGAACATACTTTTTCTTTTAGCTTTCCTTGATATATCATTATTGTGCCTCCATCTTTTCCAGTACAGGTCTTGGGTTCAGGTGCCCTGCCTTGTGTAAATGCCTAATTTCCATAGCGTGGTTCGACCCTTTTCTCTATTTATTTTTCCACTGCAGCAGATAGTATCCCTTCAGTGTAGGCGGGATTAGCTGGCTGTCGTAGCTAAACCACATCAAACTGCCCTGACATCATCTTCCCTGCTTCTCTTCCCTGGATGCTTTCATTGGCAGTCAAACAGAGGAACATCTCCACTTTGTGAATTGTAGCCCATGTTGAGGTTCTGGGTGCTCTCATCTTTAAAAAAAATCTAAGTCTAGTCAAAAGACAGTTCCATCTTATTACAAAACGTGTTCATATTGAGAGGAGCTTGGCCTTTTTTAAATGGCAGGTTTGTGCAGGATGTTCACTGTCGTGCTAATGACTTCTGACCATTATTGGTCTGCAGTGTTTCAACTCCACATAATAGTGACAACTCCGCTCATTTAGAAACTCAACTGAGGTGTTACCAACAAAAGTACCAAGTTACTATGAACAACTTTTGCTGATGGAAAACCGAAAAAACAAACTGTTTCAAACAAGCCATGTTAAGGAAAATATGTTATAATGTCCGTCTTTTCACTGAATTGTCATCTTGAAAAGGGCACTCACAACAATTCCGCAACAACTTCATCCTCACCTGTTGCACTTGCCATTTCAACGTTAAAAACAATAAAACGGCCTGAATTGCTTCGTCGCATTCATCTAGATCCTCTGTCTCGAGCCAGTTAACTAGCGGGCCTTCTAGAGTACCCTGGAACTGAGGGAAACTCTGAAAGAATACGCCCATTGGCTACAAATCAATTTATGATTGGTTGATCAAACTGTCTGTCCAAACGTACGCTCTCATTCAGTGCAACGGCCAGGGCATTCGATCAAGGATGTAGAATACCTTGGTTGAAGGATATTCTACCCAGAGACCCAGAACAAGATCTGATTGGTTGCTTTCTTTTCTTACACAAAACCACTGAAATGCGTAGTGCATGGTCCGAGAAGGACAAACAAATCAACGTAACACTGTAATATTAAAGATCAACAACACAGATACCATTCTCATTTATTCATTTTATATACATTTTATTTATATAATTAAATCGATTTTTTTGTTTGTGTTATCTGAGTGTTCCAGGGTATGCTCTGAATACCTTCAATGCCCTGACGGTTCGCCACTGGTTTCTGTCCTATTAGTGTCCAGTATCCGTCCCTTTCTTATCTGTTTGCTGGTTATTACTTGACATTTTGAATGTCATTGTCAACTAGACAATGCTTCAACTAGAATAAAAGCAAAAGCAGTTTTCCCACCCTGACTGCAGGTACAGTACTTTGAACAATACCCCTCTGTGCTGCGGCAGAGAGGAGAGAGACACTTTAATGTTTCCTTCTCTGAGAGTGAAGAGCCTTATCTGTAAACAGGTGGCAGTCACTGTGTGCTGTTGCCTCAGTCGCCTTTCAGTCTTCTTTAAAAAAGGAAAATAGGGATAAAAGCACAGCAGAACTAAGGAGTGGTATTATATACAGTATAATAAAGACAGAAGGAGACTTTGAGGTGTGTTAGTCCTCTGTGAGTTTATGAAAATGTTGTGATTAACCAGTCTGAATGGGGAAGTTCGCTTAGGATAAAGGAGTGAGCAACGTTCTCCACATTCCCAGTTTTAATGGGAAAAAGCACATGTTCTCAAATTTGCGCGCACATTTTCAAGGTCAAAATATAAATAATAAATCTACATTCTTAGCATTCCTTTGGTTTTATTATTATACGCAGGGCTGCAAATAACTACTTTCATTACCTATTAATCTTGATTGAATGTTTGAACATTGCTCAGTTTATAACCAAAGCACAAAGATATTTATTTCCAATTAAAAAAAACTCACAAGTGAATCCTCACATTTGTTGGCAGGGATTATCATTTCGTTTTTGGTTTTTTAAACTTTTTGTTGACTGAGTGACTTAAACAAACTATTCCCTCAAACGTTATTACGGTTTCAAAAGAGCTCAATTTCAAGTTTTTATGTCATTTTCAAAGCGGACCTTTTTAAAAACTGTGATAATTGCAGTGATCCTGTAATGAAAGAATTGTTTTCATAACTATTTAAAAAATGTTCCCGCAACTGCCTCTTTGTCAAACTAATGATTTCCTTCCCATTGTCCATGAGTGCAGGGAGGGAGGTGCATGCGGTATAAACAGACTGAAAAGAGGAAAGGCTGAAGTGTTCTCTGAAGTCAGTTTTATAGCTCAGTGCAATGTGTTGTGTTCAGTCAAACACACAATCCCTGAACTTTGCAGCATTATCTCCTAAAGACAGCTGTGCTGAGGACCTCTGACTCCCATGTGCTTATATGGGCTAGCTCACTCCTCCCCCCCTGCATTTCTCTGCAAATGGTACAGTCCATTTAAAAAGGTGCTTGTCGTCTCTCAATGCTCTGTGTCCTTTCAACAGTCAGCTGCAGGGAGCACATTTCACCGGGGCAGTGCTGGCTCTCTATAACACACACACATACACATACACACACACACACACACACACACATACACACACATACACACACACACACACATGCGCTCTCATGCTGTTACGGTACTCTCAGGCACACACACTAACCGGCATGCTTGCACACTGACACACTCACACTACGCATACATTATCTCTAGAGCGCAAACTTCTTACAGCAGTTACACATTTCCCCTGAGCTGGATGCCTCTCTTTAAGGGAATGGACAAACTGCTCTAAAGGATTTTGGAACTTGGCTTTCTTATAAAGAAAGGGGAGAAATAACAGACAGAAAAGGAGAAGGAGGAAGGATTTATTTGGGGACACGTTCCTTCACTGGAGATGTACAACTTGTCAGTATGACACCTTGTCCGGATTCCCCTCTCCTCTTCAGGCAAAAATCCTGAAAATGATGGATGACAACAAGCAGCTGGCTCAGCGCATCGATGGAGCCATTCAGTCCGCCAGCCAGGAGGTGACCAACCTGCGGTCCGAGCTGAGCGCCACCAGCCGCAGACTGGCCGAGCTGGGGGCCACCGACTCGGGCAGCATGCTGGAGACCCTGCAGCACAACCACAACGGTAGGACAGCCCCTCGGAGAGTGGAGTGAGACTGTGCTGAGAAGCTGCGAACATGTGGGGAAGGATGAGTGCACTCTGATGCAGCGCTGTATGATCCCGCTGTGTGTGTTCCTGCATGTCATGGAGTTGAAAAAGCCTATGCTCATGCCTCTTTCTGTGTAAAGTTAGCAAGTGGGTTGAACAAAAGAGGTGAGGGGTTCCTGCTGGCTTGTGTCCACTCTGAGTTCTCCCACAAATCCCCTCTCATGTTGAATAAATAAGCTTTTGAACCTTTCAGAGGGGGGGAGTGCTGCACTTTTAGTGAAGGCAGAGTGGGTAAAGTTACAACCTCTTTTCACTGTCGGGCACTCGCATTCGGTTCTCCCTTAACTGGGCAATGGATCTGTGTCTCTCGAGTAGGAAGGGAAAAGGGGGCTGGTTTTAGGGTTGCCGCGGGTTACTGTTACCGAGAGCTGGTGTGTGTGTGTGTGTGTGTGTGTGTGTGTGTGTGTGTGTGGTGCAGCTGCACTGTTTGTCCTTTTCTAACTTTTTTGTCCTACACTGAGTTTTTACATATACAAAGGTAACAGATGTGAGTTTTTGTGTACATGCATAAGCACGGGTGGCATCATTAGCATGTGTGCCCATGCTGTCATGTCCTTTCAGCTTCTGGCACACACATACTCACACACTCTTGCTGTTTCCATAGAAGTCAGCTGGTACACTGAGCCGGCTGATAGGATACGTTTCTTCTTGGCCTTGGGAGCACTCTTCTTTGAAACCACATATCTTTGGGATACTTCTGAGTTATTTGGTCCCCAGTTGACCTCTGTAGTGTTTTTTTTAAAAGAGGGAAATACACAGCTGGTCAGGAACAGTTTGGTCATGTGTCAGCATTGTTTTCAATGGACTGCCGCTGTTGCTTTGTTTTTCAGCTTTTTCTTTCAGCTTGTGTGTGTGTGTGCCTTGCGGTATCCCTTTAACCCTGATGCACGCTCACACTCCTGCTGTTTCCATAGCAGTGTGTGTGCCAGTGCGAGTGACGGCAAGCATTCCTCTGGGGGGGTTAGAGCACTGATGTCATTGTGCTTGTTGCTGCTTCACTGCTTAGCTGAAATTATGCCTGATGTGTGCATGTTCAGTGGTGGAATCACGTTCATCTGTCGAGAAGATTCATAAAACATGTTTATTCTTATTCTCAAAATGTTTCTGAAATGATACACATTAAGAACATGGCATCTACGGTTTCTGTACATTCCCCACATAAATGGATTTTGTCAGATATAATTGTCCAGAAATATGGTGCTAAGCGGTACTGAGTGCCCATTTTCTCAACATCAATGACAAATGCCTACATCCTTTTGATAGTAACGACTAAGGTTTCTGATTCCTGGCTTGGTTTGGCCTGTATATCTTTCCTCTGTCATTGTCAATAAGCCTTTTTTTTTTTTCTCTTCACACCCATCTCTCACTGTCTGTGTCAAGACAGCCCTTTCTCTCTTCCAAGCTGTTCTTTACAAGCCCAGGCTGTATAATAGAAACGGCTGGGCATAGGGGGGATTATGTAATTTATCACCAGTGTCTATGTTGGGAAGGGAGGTGTGTGCTAAGGGTAGCTGGTTCATTGCACAGCCGACAGTGGGAGTCCTGGGGGAGATTTGCTGGGGGTGCTACCTGGCACATCACTACCAACAGAAGTAACCTTGCTAGCTGGCTAGCTTACCTTAATTGCATTTGCTCTGCCTGGGGGTTTTCATCTGCATGTTCTTTTCATCCCAGCAAGTAAAAATGTTAGGATAAATCTTTGTAGGGATGTCCCAATACCAGAGACGAGTATGTAACATAGGGTCTTGTTGCGATCAAACCAGGGACACTGTGGTTATATATTTTCTTTTGTGCAAATTGGGACACGGATCAGTTTTATAAACTTTGGTCGGCTACTCTATTGTTTGCTTTCCCCAGAGAAACAGTGACAATGTGTGAACAAGCAGTGTACATTGACCTACTTGATATACTTTCCCTGTGTTTAGCAACCTTTTCTACTTAGAAATACGGCTCCTTATTACTTGGCTTTATGTCCCTTACTTATCCCGAGCTTACTTTGTGTCTGAGATGAAACAAATGTGCTTATAATGCAAGTTGATAGATAAAGCTTTGAATATTTTTTACTGCAGCTGATTGTACTCTCACCACCTCTCGTGAGTTATGACCATTTTTATTTATTTAGCAATTAATGGTTATGAGAGAAGGTCAGTTGTATTGCATTTATTGACCCATCCATTCTGATACTTTCAAGTATTTAAGTCAAGCTTGGTTAGTCAAGCATTCACAAGATTATTGCTGCCTTAACTCAAAGGGCATGCAACTCTATCTGAACCTCATCAAAAGATTTTACACGATGTCTGGTAAATCATTTGAGTTATAATCCTTGTAATAATTAAAAATACAAAAATATATTTACCTTCAAGGATCCAGAAGATTAAGAATGATTTGGGCCTATTATATCATTTAGCATAGAGGATTTGCTGTCTCTATACATCATTAATGAGCAGACAAGCGCTGCATGTTTAAATGCTCCTGAGGCTACAGTTTGATGGTGTTCTCTAATTCTGTTCACGGAAAGCCTCCTTGGCCATTGCCGTTAGATATTAAACAGGATTAAGAATATTGTGAGTCTCTTTGGTTAAAGAAGTATCTCCATCAGAGGTGAAGGGAAGAGCAAATAAGACGTGACGCTTGTAATACCATTAGTCAGGGCTTTAGGAATTGGAAGGAAATACGAGCCAGTTCTCTAGACCAGCCGCAGCACAGCATGTTGCATCGGGTGTTATTATAAGGTTTAACCTCTATTTCAAAAGCACCTTAAAGTAGGGCTGACACCTCTCAGACTGGCCCCACCTGCAGGCTCCAGGTCGATGCAGCATTGTGATGGCCAGCCATTCATCAATACAGGACTTTGAAAGCGAGAGGCTAAGCTTTTATCCACTAGCTGTATGGCATACACATCAGGCATCTTACAACAGAAGAAGAGCAGCACATTTCTGCCTCCTCTCTGTACTTTTGAGTACTCGAATATTTAAAAACTGTCACAGAAACATCTATCCTCCCTCAGTTTTACTCAACGTGGAACAAAAACGCACACACTGCCTGTTCTAAACATTGTCTTCCCATATATAACATGGCATTTCAGGGAACAATTTATGATTATAATTGTTATGTTCTGCTCAGCGGGGTTTCCGTGATTCTGTGTACAGCGTTACCACTCAATTGTCAGTTATATAGAGAGAGACTACTCGCACCGTAAATGCTTCATTAACATCATGAAGAGCTTGGACATTTGTATTCCTGCTGTGTGCAGAATACACACGTTCATGCACTCGCACGTGTGACATGCATCCCTTATTCACACTCTGACAATCAACACTTACCAAAAACTAATGTTAAAGGGAAAATGCATTGCTTCATTTTGTTTCAGACTAGATTTAAACATGTAGAGCAAGTCATCCCAGGGCTACTTATCTAAACTAAGCATTTATTTGAGGCAATATGAAATTATTAGAAATACAGATAGGCTCTATTCAAACGCTCAACTGTTTTAGACTTACCATTCATTCGAAAATATATGAATTAAATACAGGATTTTCATAATTTGGAGAAACACTTTTATATCTCAGGCTTTTGAAAATGTCAACAGGCTCTTACATTATGGCCTACCCTCTTCAATTAAGATAATGTATGCAAAAGAGCCTTTTTTTGTCACCACTTTCTTGTTAAATTTGAGCGCTTAGTTAGTTCCATTATATTGCACTCATTTTAATTAATGCATACCAATAGCTGTGGAAAACAAGTGTGTTAAATAAATCCTAATGATTTTGGTTTATTTGAGTAATTTATTATATTTAACGAAAATATCAACTTACATAGATATAAGTCGCCTAGTTATGAATTATATACTACTACTTCAAATATTTGTCACATAAGGAACAGAGGGCAACATTTTTGGGACTCAATCTGTATGTTTTCTTTGTGCTTTTATATACTTAAGTTTCATAACACATCTCCAGATGTAAACACATGTAATCACTGCCTTTGCTGCATCAAGCAAAAATATAATTTCCCACATTGTTTATTGTTGAGTTTTAAATCACATCAAAGTCCTTCAAGCTAAGAACGTTGTCACAGATTACAGGTTTTGCCTCCATGAATTGCTTTCCTGCTGTCTCTAGTCTGATTAGACGATGTCTGGAAAAACCTGACATTTTCCAGCAGCTAATGCCTTCATACCCTTTACACTCCCTTTCATTGATTTGATGAAGAGGGATAGGTTTAAAGCTGCTGCCACTCAGAGAGGCATGCGGTGCAGAAAGCCAGCTGAGAGACTCAAAAGCAAAGACATAATAAGACAGGAAAGAGAAAACAGGGGTATCGCACTCACAAAAGACTGCAATGAATTACCTCACGCTGTGAAAATGGCACCAAATCTCATTAGTGTTTCCGTAGATTCTCTGTCTATGGCAATGCTAAACTTAATGACTTGTGGGGAAGCACAGTGATAGTCCTCTTCATGTTTATGGCACGTTTTATTTGATAAAGTTACCCAACAGATGGTTTCTCATCAAAGCAGTACTCACAAGTGCAACACAAATTGGAAACGCCACAAATGCCTTTGGCAAATTCATTTAGATCCTCTGTTGGCACCAACCGCAGTAACTTCCTTAATGAATCCCACATTTAGAAGGAATCACCACTCACTGAAGTTCGTATTTCAAATGGAACGACCCATGTCAAGATAATTAATAAGGCTGAAACCTGAACATGGGGTTGAAAGTAGTAATTACTTGGTTGTAAAGCATCTTAATGATGAATGATGTTATTCTGAAACCATATGCTTAAAGGTCACTCATTTACTTGCACATGTAGTCATCAAGCGGGTGAGAGAACCCTGTGAATTAGATTGATTACAATGCAGTGTAAAGTTAAGGACATGACATGCTGCCTCTTGCGCAAGTTATACACACACA